CATTTTTTTAAACAGTGTGTATTACATCTACTAGCCTGCTCATTCAAAATAACTTAATAAAAAAAATGTGCTCTCTGGCAGAGTTTGGACCTGTGTTCCCCTTTGTAATTTTCTTTATGTACCCGAGACATGTACGGGCACTTCCTTTTTATTCCATTCTCATAAATTCAGCTCATCTGTACAAAGGTATTCAGCAAGTTCAGATCAGTTCAAAGGTTTAAGGAATGATATATTGCAATGTGCTTTGTGTGTGAGCATATATATAAAGTTTTATGCTAACAGTTTCTCCTGTTGCATTTCTTGCTTATGGGACTAATTCTGCTTCCCAGTTAACTTTGATCTTCAAAAATTTTTTGCAATGTGAGTAGTCATTTCTGTCTTCTTCATTCGGTCCATTTATTGTTCTCTATCCTTAATAGTGTTTTTTTTCTTTCTCATATTCTTTAACACTTAGTAACCACTTGTGTCTTAGTAGCTTTATTGCCTTGCTTGGAGTGAAATGGTTTAAATTTCTTTTTAATTGATGGAAACTATTTACATGACTGTTTTTCACACACACACACACACACACACACAGTACCTTAGGCTACGGTATTGTAAATTTAATACAAATAATAGAGGAGTTATGAAATGTCGAAATCTATTTGTGTGTATAATTATATATAATAATGTATGACTAAAAACCAATGAAGTTTTTATCAGTTTGTCTCCAGAAATCCTTAAAATGTTCAGGAAAATTTAAACAACTTCTGTTAGTCCTCAAAGAAAGCTGCATGATATATATATATATATATATATATATATATATATATATATATATAGCTTTATGTGCATTTTATTTATTGAATTTCCTTTCTGTTCTCTCTGAGCATGATGCATTTTTTATACAAACTTCCACTCTGTCTCCATATTTTATGATTGCTTTCACAATTGGCTGAATGATAAATTCAGTAGCAAGATGTCTGGGTTGAACTGACACGGTGCCAACAGTTTTGGAAGGCCAATTACTTAAAAACTTCAGATTTATATATTTGCTTTTCATATAATGACCCAAAGGGTTAATGTTCTTTAAGATCATTGTCTGTTCAACTGATATATACAGATCACAAACATCTATACATCACAATTTTCAAAGAGAAAACAATTATACAGTCTGCCTCCTTATTTATGGTGAATATGTTCTGGGGGCCCCCAGCAGATGCCTGAAATAGCATATCAAACTCCATATATGCTATGTTTTTTCCCTTAGCTATAAAAAAGTTAAATTTCTCATTTTCTTTCAGTAACAGATTAGTAACTGGAGTATTGCTGCCACATCTGAGCCAAAGACGGTTAATCCTCACTTGATTGAGCTCAAAAGTATCTGCACAGCCTTGTGGGTGATGAATGGCATTCCACTCTTCAACTCCTTTCTCACAGAAAAAATGTTGCTAGCCTCTCACTACTCTATCACTATTTTCATGGAAGATGTTCAGGCAATCTGCATTCTTTGGTTCCACCAGTTCAGACCTTCACAGCTAGGACCTGCCATGCCACATACACAAAGTTGACTCATTTCCATTAATGAAGAAGAAGAGTTTCTTCCCCAGAACTGTTGCAATGTAGAAGGGGATGATTACCAGATCGCTACAATTTTAACTTCAAGTCAAAGGTCAGCTGTTATCTACCCTACATATCTTCATAATGTGCAACCCTTAATCTCTCCCAAGATGCCTTTACAACATTCTCATTTAGTAACACTCTACCTTGAGTGGCACTTAGGCCTTGTTTTGGATAAAAAAAAATAATAAAAGAAACAAGAAAAAGTCAATAAAAATGAAATAGAACAATTATAACAATATACTGTAATAAGTTTTGTTATAGGAAATTCATTCATACTGTAGATCTTTGCAGCTTAAGCAGATGATTTTTTTAATCTTTAAATATTAACTGAAAGGAAGCACTTTACAATTTCATTGGTGTTTTCAAATTGATAGCATCCCTATTTTTATACTTTAATACTAAGTAAAACTTATGAATTATTTATTTCTTGGCCTAACCAGGGTTAAATGAAAATGCAAACTGGGAAGCGACCACTGTTTGGCAAACTTAGACCTTTGTGGCTGCAAAAACATGTGTCAAAAGGATGACTTTTTTTTATTGACACTGCTATTATTTTAACTACTGTTGTTCTCCATAGATGTTCATTGTTTTAAAAAGCGATGATTAGAATTGGATTAAAACATTGACATAAAAATGAATTTACACATTTCTTTTTTGTTTTTGAAAATTTACAACAAAAATATTAGGCACTATTTATTAGATTGTTTATTTACAAGAATAATTTTATATTTACAACACTCTGAAAAAACTAATACAATTTAAAACCAATGCAATGCAATATTTATCATTTATCAATTTATAAAGAAATAAATGTGAAAATGATTTTTTATTTATAAATATTTACTAAATTATATTAAAATATAATGTTTGAATTTATTGGCAATTAGCCAATTTTTTGCCAACCATTTCAATAAACCATTTAAATATCTGGGAAGTGTTCACAGAAAGTGAGATGCATTGAGATAGATAAAGATGCACTCCAAAATCTAAGTAGAGTATTAAGAGACAGAAAAACTTTGTTAGAAATGAAGAAAAGAGTACTGAATTGTTATATAATCTCTGTCCTCTAATATGGCAGTGAATGCTGAACAATTTCTGCAAAGATGAAGAAGAGACTTGAAGTAACAGAAATGCTGTTCTACACAAGGCTGCTGAGGATACTATGAGCTGAACATGTGTGCAATAACAAGGTTTTTATAGAAAATGGAAACAAAAGAGAAACTCATACTTAACATCAAGAAGTGATAGTTGAAATTTCTGAGGCATATGATGAGGAAGGAGGGTTTAGAAAATTCGATACTCACAGGGCAGAGGAAAACAATGCATAACATACTTAATGAGATTGATTAAATGGATGGTGGAACAGGGTTTAGGAGAAATAACAAAAAAACAAAATTTATTAAGAGCTTCTAAGGACAGGAAATAGTGGAGAACAATTGTTCACCTATGTCCTGAGGAGACAAAGCACATAAAGAAGAATTTCGGGGAAGACATTTAAGTGTGTTTGTTTTTATGTCATATATTATGGTTGGCATCATCCTTCACATATTTAGATATTTTGTTTCTGAGAGGATGTTACAAAATTTTACATGAGGAATCTGGATAAGTTTTTCTCAATAAATAAACTTGAATTGCCATAAAATAATGCAAATTTTTTTTTTTTTTAAATTGATATAATTTTGTTGTGGATTCCGGGATGAAATCTGGTCTCAAATGAATGACAAACACAGGAATGAAATATAGCAAATAAATGTATTGACTTAATAATACAATTGGTGATACACTGATACAGTAAGAGTGTGAGGTAACCATTTTGTAGGAGTCACAGTTGCGAGCACGTAGACTCAGAAGGAAGTCCTACTTCGATACTGAATTTACCAGACTGTATATATATTATTATTGCTACTAACCACATTTCTGGATCTACAAACCGTATTACCAATTGTATTATTACGTCAATACATTTATTTGCTATATTTCATCCCTGCGTTTGTCATTCATTTGAGACTGGATTTCATCTTGGAATCCACAACAAATTTTAAAATTTTAGCTGAATTAGAGTAAATTTGCAATTACTATGCTTAGCTTGTTATAAAGTTACAAATAGGGCACTCAGTGAGGATCAAACTCATTGCAGTAGTAAGATTTTAAGAGGCAAGCCTGTTAAACTTAGTGAGACAGTCATATTTACTTAGCAAAGTGTAATACAAGGAGAGTGGTTCACCTGGTTAGGATTGAACTCAGCTATCTGGGCCTGGGAGATTAGCTTGTTAACTATTATACCATGGCAAGACACCCAGTATCTTCAAATTACACCCCCCCACTCTCACTCTCTCTCTACCCCTCCTCATTTATTTCTGGAGTCTTATGTTAGTGACACCTGAAATGACTTAGTCTTATTTACTTATAATCTGAATGGGTTGAGGTGATATTGGTGCATGTGTGAAGGATACTTGCTAAGAAAAGCAAAGTTTGGTACAAGGCCACAAGTCTTGGAGCATCTTGGAAGGATGGATTCAGAATTAACCTGTATAGTTGCTAAGCACAATGGTTCATGATATACTTTTGTTTATATTGGTGTCTTTTATATAAAAATTAGGTGATATATTCACATTTGACCTTCTCCAAACAATCACTCAGTGATTTCTTTTCATTGCATTCAAAGCTTCCTCCTTTATCAACTCCTACTTTGTAATCTATTTTTCCCCAGTCTCAATCACACTTTGGGCCCTGGGGCTTCTTTTTCACCTTTTAATCAGCAGCACAAGTGCAAATAGTTCATTTTTATGCAGCTGCTGGCCAATGTAGCATTACTTAACAAAGACCTACTTTTCCATTGCCTAATCTGTCAAGTGCTCCTTTACCTCTTTCTCCACAATCCAGAATGGACATGGAATATTCATTCAGCCTATCCAGGCATGCTGTTATTACTGTGAGAAACTCCTCTCTTGGAAATGCCTTCATGTTTTTTAACCTTTTATTTCTGGTCAAATGTGGAGACCATTTTTTTTTCTTTTTTTTTTTTTTTTTTTGTGCATTTCATTTGTTCCGCATCATTGACTTTCTGCTAACACTTGGGATTTATGTTGCTTCATGTTTATTCATGACCAGGTTTTGTCTGTATAATTGCATACATAAAAAGGAGGCAATATCTTTAAGCAACAAGTCAAGGTCATTATTAACATAGCCAATGATAAGCATTTATTACAATATTGATTAATATTCTTTTTTTATCCCTTTTAATCTTGGGAATTGAAGATACTGATATGTGACAAAAAATAAAATAAAATCCTGATTAGAGAAATAAAATTAATCTTTTAAATGGCTCATATGATTTGTTTCAAAAGTGGTTTGAACAACTGAACTTGTTCTTTTTCTTGCCTTTTGTCATATAGACTTATGGCCACATCATGTTGAAACTCCAGTTCCCATATGATCACTGAAGTTAAGCAACATCAAGCTTAGTCAGTACCTAGATGGGTAACCGCTTGAGAGTACCAGGTGCTGTAAGCTTGCATGTGCAGGTAATGTAATGGATAATGGCTTGGAATTAATAATTGGAGCATTGAGTTCCAATTTCAGTTGGGTTTGTTATAATCACTTACACGCAAAGATTCTTGGGAAAAGTATGAATCTACTTCTTCTCCTCCCTTCAGCTATGGGTTAATTAGTAAGAAATAAAATCATTATTATCTCCCAAAAGATTTTTACAATCTTAAAATATTTTATGGCTTTAAATAACCTGCAAAGGGTTGATAAGTCATAGAAAACAAATCAATCAAATTCTTCTTTTTTTTTCTTTTAATCTCAGGGTTGAAGATACTGATATGTGACAAAAGATAAAATCCTGATTAGAGAAATAAAGTTTGGATGACTGAACTTGTTCTTTTTGTCATATAATTTAGGCCAAATCATTCTAAACCTCTTTTCGGATGTACAATCTATATGGAAAAAAAGTTGTTTCTCTATTTTTTTATTGTATGTATGTATGTATGTATGTATAGCTGACCATTCGTATTCGAGGATACCTGTCTATTAGGGTGGTTAGCCAATCCCTATTGCAGACACTTGCTCAAGCACATTTGTGTTTATTAACACTCATGGAACCCACCTGTAGTTTATACTGTAACTATGCTGAGAAGATTTTAGTTACAGTTTCTAGGAAAGAGCATGATCAGCAATTTGAACAAAGCTAGCACACTCAAGCCCTCGGCGATGATGACTTGTGACTTCATGCTAGCACAGCTATTGACGGCCCTCAAGGGTTCTGTCTACCCAATTTCACTCACAATGCTTGGGTTTTATAGCAGAAAGAATACTAAAAACAGTAAAAGAAATTAAATTATACTGATCTACACTGGTGATTCCATATTTTCTCTATTCTTTGTTAAATAAAGTCATTTGCATGTTAGGATAATATATACAGCTATTTTCAATTTTCCACCAGTTCCATATCTTTTATTGTTTAGATTGCATTCTGGAGAGAGTTAGTATGTACCCTTCTCCTTCTGACTATAGTTTGCCATATTAGATTTTCTCCTTTGGATATGGCTTTCTTCTATGCCTTCATCTCTCTCTCTCCCCATATAAATTGTATACTTGAAGAAGGTGGTAGAATAGATTGGTCAAAAACTGATAAAAACAAAAACAGCAAAAAGCCTGACTTCAGTATTTCTGACAACTCTTAGAAGGATAATGACCATCCTGAAAATTACAGAAGTCAATTTACAAGTTTTGATTCTTGTGCTTAAACTAGTTTATTTTAATAATAATGGTCATGACTCTTGGGACAAGTTTTGAATGAGTTCTTGTAGAACTTCTAGATTCAACTTGTAATGCTGCCATTTATTTATATTTAAACTCTTTTTTTATGGATATTGTGTTCAAGAGAAACCATCAAAATACAAATAATTACTACTTTTGTGACTGATTTATGAAATTTAAAACTCAATAATGCGTCAGGTTAAAACCTGTGACTGGTTAATGGCTATCTATTCAGTCTTAAAAAAAAAACCCCAAAGCTTTAAAATCAAATTTATTTCTTATCAACAAATGATAGATCAGTGTTAATAGCCTTATAAATTTATGTTGTTGGAATTCTTAGCTGAAGTATTTTGAGTAATATTTGACTAGATTTTTCTTGTTGCTTTTTATCACATTGCAATCCAAAAGCCATGTCCAGCAGCAAGCCTCTGATCAGGAATTGGTGGGTTTTGATTGGTGTGGAACCACCTCTTAATTGCTGTTGTTCCCAATCCACCCAACCTGGGGAAGTAGCACCTGTTAGGGTCCCAGCTATGGGCAAATAGTGAACTCCCCAACAAAAACAAAATACTATGAAATTATAAAATTATATTTTTATAATAAAAGAACCAGCAATACATTTTTATATAAAAAAAAATTTGCCGACAGTACATATTTATAGTAAAATTGTCAGCAATACATTTTTATATATATTAAAAAAAATTACCAATACATATATATAGTAAAATGACTAGCAATACATTTTATAAAAGAATTACCAACAATATATTTTATCTGTAATTAAAGGCATACAATTGCACTCAAAATATATTTAGTTGAAGCCATAAAATTATGTTCAAAATGTTGACATTAAATAACCCATAGATTTTGACATTAAATAACCCATAGAAGTTGATATGCCACTAAACAAAATCAGTCAACTAACCAAAAGCCATGGAATTCGGCATTGTGAATAAAAACAGTAATATGATGAAAGGGAATCTAAACAAAAGTTAATGATAATGCTTCAGCTAAGAATGTAGGCAACATAAGACTATGACTATTATTAGAGAGTAAACAAACAATATGTTATAATTAATCAGGCAAGAAAAGGAGTAACTTTATAACTAAAATTTGGCTCAGCTTCATTGTTAAGACATTGTCAAATCTGTAAAAATGGCATCCATGTCAAGATTACCGTCAATATATGCATTTTTGATTTCCACTATATTTGTTATTGTTTATACTGTGGCTGGCATTGGTTTTGACTTTTAATTTTTCCCTAATTAGAAAATTAATGAAGGGATTCACACAAATATTTAAATTATTAATGTGCAGAATATATCACATAAAATGTATAAATTATAGGAGACTACATGTCACTCTTATAATATGGTAACTGTTTCATAAATTTTACAGGATTTTCCAAGTGTTAGCCAGGTTACTAAAATTCCAAGAAACTTTAATAATAAAAGTTATAAAATAGGGAAAGATAAATATTTTTGAACAAAAAAAAAAAAAACCCAAAAACAATGTCACTGTAATGATGACAAAGTTCTAAAGACAACACTAGTCTATGTCTACTTCATATTATTTTCACTGTCTTCCAGTGTGTTCATGATGCAGCACTTTTAGGATGACATTACTACAATGGTTTCAGATATGATCTGCTATTGGAATGCATGCTTATAACTTTATTTCTCTGAATGTGAGCTTATTTTTACTGTAAGCATTTTGTGTAGATATGAACATATCAATCTAAATTACATGTAAATTATTTGAATAATGTAAATGAGAGATTTTCTTATTTTTGGGAATTTGGTCTAGATAGAAAAGATAGAAAGTTGGACCAATGAAAAAGAACAGTGACCAATGCTGTCATATGATTTTTTTTACAATATCCAGCATGAAATATATTTGTTTCATTTAAGGTTTTATGCCTAATTTCTACAATCTTCAATCAGCAGATAGCTGAATTTTTCTAATTTAGCTAAAGCAAACCAGATTTTTAGAATGGTAGAAATATATCAAACTATGCAGCTTTTCCCTCTTGGCAACTCTGATCATGCACAGTGTCTGTAAACATCTCTTTCTGTTCCCCCACCAGCTAAGAACCTCCTACCAAGAGAATATCTTTCTGTTATCAATAAGCAGATTGGGACCTGTTCCGTGATTTCCTTCATGATGTCCCTTGGAATGAAGTTTTTAATCATCCTGTTCAAAAATGCACATCTGAGGTCTCCTCCTGGGGGAAAGCCAGCATCGATGCTTTCATTCCTGCAAGGAAATACCAAGTTAAATCCCGTTCATCTCCTTGGTTCTCACTTGCAAGCACAGCCACTATAGCCCACCGGAATCACTTCTTCTGGCTGTACCAGAGCAATATGTCTGATTGCCTCTGCTTGTAATGACTGCAAGCGTGTTTTCAAAGAAGCAAATTTACTGTTTACTGATAGAATGAAACGATGTGTAGCATCTCACAAGTTCAGTTCTAGAGATTATTGGCAGCACTGCAAGTGTGTGCTGAACAACAGCAAATCCTCCATCCCTCCTCTATTCAATCAATTCAAAGTCCTGACATCTACAATAGATAAGGTTGAACACTTTGCTCAGAAATTCTCTTCCAACTCAACACTCTACTCATTTGGAGTACCAACACCTGATTTCGCTATTAGGACAGGCTCTACTGAGTGATATGCGCATAACCCCATCACTGGTCTCAGACATCATTTCTAAATTAGACTCCCATAAAGCAAACGAAGGAGGTGGGATCCCAGCCATCATCCTAAAGAAATGTGCACCCAAGCTGTCTCCAGTTCTCACCAAACACTACAACTATTGCTTCACTGTTTCCTAGCTTGTTGGAAGTCATCCTCTATAGTTTCTGTTTTTAAGAACTCTGGATAACCTTCTGACCCCTCTATCACTCTATTAGTCTCCTACCAATTTTCAGCAAAGTATTTGAGGCTTTAATCAGTGCTGAAGTGGTTAAGTATCTTACCTCTTATGACCTACTCTCTGATAAACAATATTAATGTGATAACAACCATCAATGAACATGTATATCAGGCTCTTGATAATAACAGCGAAGCTTGAACTGTGGCTCTAGATATCTCGAAGGCATTTGACAGGGTTTGGCATGCTGGTCTTCTATGTAAGCTCTAGAGCTAGGGTATTACAAGATTGTTTGATTTAATCCAATCATTCCTATCAAATTGGGAAATGAAGGTTGTTTTGAATGGGTTCACTTCCAGATCCATTTGTACAAATGTGGGTGTCCCCCAAGGCTCTATTCTGGGTTCTACACTGTTTCTGATCTTTATCAATGATCTTCCTGATGTCCTCAGTTGCCAAGTAGGCATTTATGCAGATGACACTAGCATTTACTCTTGTCTCAATAGTAAATCCGTTAGAACTGACAAAGTTAACCTGGCCACAACTGTTGAAAGGGATCTCCAGTCAGTGGTAAACTGGAGTAAGAAATGGCTTATGAATTTGAATACTGCCAAAATAAAACTGCTCTCATTTAACCATCATAGAGAAACTTTTCTGTCTGCCATCAACATGGCTGATGCTTGACTCCTGGAGAACAACCCACTATGCCTTTTTGGCCTCATGTTTTCAATTGACTTGAAGTGGAACAACTATGTCAAATCAGCAGCTGCATCTACTATGAGGAAAGTTGGGTCACTGTGTAGTGTCAGAAGGTTTTTCTCTCGGCAGAGTCCATCTTGCACATTTTCAAATCTACCATTCACCTGTGCATTG